TTAAGCACACTTTTCGTGGCTCGAGTATCCTTAACGAAAAACCTGCGGTTTTGAGAAATGCTACAGCCGCCGAATTGCTGACAATCGTCGCTAACTGAGAAAAAGGCAAGCTGCTTCCAAACCATTCCAAGCTCTTTCTCAGTTCAAAAACATTTAGTTTTCATTTATCAGTGTTTTCAGTAACTAACACATTCTAGCAGCTTCCGGCTAATGGACGAACACGCGGCGAAACTTTGTTGATGATTATTCTTAAAATGGAGGTTCTATTTTAATTCTTACTTAAGCCTGTATAATGGCTGGGTTCCTAAATAGGAAATTGAAAAATTGGACTGCGGATCAGCAGACCGCGGAACCTTTGAAAACTCTGTGAATATGCAAATATGTTTACTTTGCGCATTGGGTGAAATATAAGGATTTGCATGGAAATGAACATTCCCGCTCTCAATCTTTAAAAGATCTGGTCTAGTTTTGAATAAGGATAAATTGACTCCACTAAAGTCGTTGTTCTCTTGCATCGTTTGAATTGTTTGGGCTGATTTAGGGAAACTTAGCTCGGTTTTAGTTCAGCTGCTAAGCCCTCTACGTAATCTCTTCCAAGATATGTCTGTGAGTAATGCCAACCAAACGAATCCCTGGAAGCAAGACGCTTTGAACGCCCCGATCACGCCGAAATTCTACAGGCATGTAACCGAAGTCAAGCGTAATTGTGTTCATCATTTGTATAAAACCATCCAAACGTCTACGGTTCTAAACACGAGTAGGAAAATATATTTTAGAGAACGAAAACTTACAAATAAACTCACAATAAAGAAAAATTTTTACCTTAACGGTGCATAGCTTTACAGGAAGAAAACGACGACGCTGCTTCTTAAAAAGTGGACATAAAAATTGATCCACAGGACTAAATTTATTCAAAAAAACCTGACAAATTACTCGACAATACAACTAATGAAGATATAAACACCCGCACGTAATTAACAGGTAAACAAAGTACACACAGAAAATTCTCTGGCAATAAGTTTTGCGATAATAATGCATCATAGTCGTTGATGTTACTTTTTGCTCGTGTTCCTCATTCCTGCGACATGTACATTGAAACGGAATTAAATGCCGCCAATTTCAGCCTAAAGATTTGCCGAGACTCTTAGGATGAGGCATTACTAGGATATCGCAGTACTCAAACCGTTAGAACTTTCAAATTATTGTTCAATTACTGTTTAAGTTGCCGAACGTCAAGGGTAATTAAAACATATTCTTCTTTTAAGGTAATCTTCTTTATACACGAAAACGACCTTTTAAATAGCGGAATTTTTAGTTTTATGTATTATTTCATTACTATTCTTTGACAAAAAATATAGGGTTCCGCAGGT